GTCAATAAATGACTCTTTGACTTCTACTTTTCTTGTCTTAAAGTCAATGTCAACAGACCGAATCACTTAGACCAATTGCTCACGATGGGCTAAATCAGGCGTGGAATCAAACAGAATACAATAGTATTTGTTTCTACGAATTGCTGGCAAACAATAATTTCGTACATGTGAAGCCATGAGATTTATATATACTCATTTTGGATTTCAGGAGAAAGATAAGATGTTGACGTTTGCTTCTTTTTAACACACTCTAAATTCTCTCTCATTACTGGATCATACTTTGTTAGTAACTGCAAAAGTGACAGGAAATTTCTAGGGTTTTCGTTTGAGGCTATGTCCTCAGTATGACCACGAAATGCAAGATTCTGAGAAGCTAAATAATGTGAACAATCCAGTAACCGTTGCACTACATCTCTCCATTTATTTTTTCTTGCTGAATTTGCCTTTGCAGCTCTTCATTAATGCCACTTTGAAGACGAATTCGGTGCTCAGTTTCTTTCCAAGCAGCAAATGACTCACGATGACTGTCACTATTTTCATGGACATTTAACTTTTCAATTGTTTTCCACTTAGAGAATCCACCCTGCGTTTTGAAAGCAGACTGACTATCGGATGTCATACATGTAGATGAAAAATAAGACAACAAAGGAGTATGCTACTTTATGTAGAAATGAATACACCAACCAGGAACAACTGACCTCTTGTCCATTCAGAAGGCGTCGTTTGAACCAAAATGTAGTCATAGAACGCTCATCTTTGGCATCAAATGGACCTTCTTTTATGTTGAAATTCATGTGCTCCAACTTTAACAATCTCTGTGCGATGGGCATGTGTTTACAACTGCTGAGCCTGTTGTATCAAACTTCATAAATCCAATATCCCTGTGTGTTAAAATATTTTTTTAGCTTAGCAACACTATTCTGTGGATTTGTTTCTGACAAAGTGGAATCCTGTTGTTTATTATTATTGTAGCTTTCAACAGGACAGAGAACAGTTTCTTCATTGTTTTCTTTTTCAAATTAAATAGCATGTTTAGAATCTTGCACTTTGACCTCTTTGCTGCCATCAAAAGGAACAGATGCTGGTTACTGGTGTCATCACTTCCAGCAAGGAAAGCTCTCATCAATTTGCTTGACTCCACCATCGAAGCTACAAATTGTGCACGTCTTTTGCGTCCCTGTGCCCCACTTTCTTTTTTCGACATAATGGGCTAAAATAATAAATTAATAAATACTGACTACACTATTTAGTTGCAACATGCAAATTGTCAGATGAAAGGAAGCATTCTACTTTCCTAAGTTCCTAATCACAAATGATATTTAAATTATACAATTATAGTTGCAACTCAGGACTAGCTAGGCACATCTGGACCTGGTTTCACTTGAACTGCCATTATTTAGACCACCCATACTCATGTTAATTAATGTGACACAAAAGTAAGAAAATCAATGCAGAAGAGTGTATATGCTGGTAAATCATGCTTATGAGCACCGTATTAATCACCGGCAGTTGCTAAATCACATTTAAAAACTCGATAGATTTAACTACACGAATACTACAGGAGACAAGTCTGAAATTGCTGAATGAAAATTACACTGTAGAGAAGGGTGTAATCATAACATAATATAACCCTAGAGGCACAAAGGCTATATTTAATATTAAAGGTTTTGATAGAATGAGAAAACTTAAATATAGGCTAACTAATTAGAGGTGCTAGATTAGAGTTCCTAAATTAAGTCACTAGTACATCTAGATCTAACATTAATGTTAGACCTGTTATTTCCATCTTTTTAGTCTTAGGTTTGGATCTAGATCCAATGACAATAATAATAACAGAAATTTAGCTTCATACATCTAAACTAGACCTTAGATTTGGGTGCATAGATTGAAAGCACCTTGTATTGAATCTACCAAGATCTAGACATAACCCTGCCTCATCACTTCTAGATTTAGATTTATTAGGCTTAACTTTTAGAACAAATATTACATCTAGATCTATTAACTTAGTCATTAGAGCTATCCCAGTGCAATGCCTAGTTTAATAGTTAGTATAGGTCTAAGTATGCCTATAATATAGGCTAGAATTTGTATGATGATGAACCTAGGGTCTAGAAATAAAGTTATAACTGCAATTAGACCTAAAGTCGAGTACATTAGTTGGTGTAAGACATGATTTACAATCAGCCAATACAATTACAAACCATTACGTTAGGCCTATAATGTTTACTAGATCTGGATCTAGGCCTTGCCTGTTGCATATATTGCCAATCTTGCACATCAGTTAATATGTTACATCAGTCTCGTATTTTCTTTTGTTGAACATACATTTACTTGTACGTTGTACTCTAGGACTTGTATTTG